TTTTGTTTGTAATACCATTATATGATTATGATTATGATCAACCATACTTTGCTGTCACAAAGAGAATTTAACTGTAGTCATACTCACTTAAACCATTTGCTGCAAACAAAGTTGGAATGGAGGTCATCTCACAAAGGTATTGAACAATGTTGATTGTAACCTAACTAAGTGGCCTATTTAGACAATTTAAATGGGAACATCCCAGTTACTCAGTGCTTAATTGCATGTAATGCAGTTGTTTAACCATTTCAAGCATGAAATGCATTATTATTATTATCTCTCTCATTTTGATATACTGCATGGGAAGGAAGAAGAGATGCACCAAGTACCTCAGCAATAACAGTAAAGTCCTTTTTATTCTCAGAAAACCAGACTGAAAACTATTTTTCAACTAAATAAGATGTTAGAAATACTTAAAGACTTACTTAAATATAGATTATTATTACTTAAATACATCTGTCCACTTGAGTGGACTTTCTGCTCCAAAGGGTATATTCTGCCTTATTTTGAATTTTGATTTAAAATACTGATATCATTTGCACTTGAATAATTTTATATATATATATTGCATATATAGTCTATTCATACCACCGCTTTTAGTAAATGTTTTTTTTTTTTTAAAGTTCCCTTTTTCTGCCCTTGATGCATGGTGTCCACTGCAGTGGCATTTCAAAATAAAATATATCGGAAAGAAAACATTATAGGTATACATTTTCACTTGTTTAAAAGTAAAATCAAACATAAAAACGTAATACTTTGTGATTTAATAATTCATGTGTGAAAGGGGTAAATCCAGCCCTTGAAGCCAAAGCTATCTTTCCTGACTTTATCTAGGAAGCAGACAAAATCAGAGCTGCTTTGAAGCGTGTGAAAACTAGTTTCTATGGTAGAATTAATGTTAGCTCTCCAGGGACCTGTCTGATTCATCCCAGTTCCTGTTTGGGAAGCCATTTAACCTGTGCCTCCAATCAAGGTCAACCAAACAGCTCTGTAGAGGGACACCCAGCCACAGGTCAGTAACATTTTAACTTGTCATGTGTTGTTCAGCATAATCATGTTTAAAGTCTAAATTCCCCTTGAAACAACGGCATCATGTTGTTGTCTGAAAATGATATTCTCCCAGTTTATTTTACATTAACTAGAAAACAATGCGGTGGTGCAGTGGTTAGCACTGTTGCCTCACAGCAAGAAGGTTCGCATGTTCTCCCCGTGGGTTCTCTCCAGGTGCTCTGGCTTCCTCCCATGCTCCAAAGGCATGCAGGCTAGGTTAATTGGTGTCTCCAAAATTGTCCTTAGGTGTGTATGTGAGTGTGAATGGTTGTCTGTCTATATGTGGCCCTGCAATGGACTGGTGACCTGTCTAGGGTGTATCCCACCTTTTGCCCGATGTCAGCTGCGATTGGCTCCAGCCCCCCGCGACCATGTAAGCAGGATAAGCGGTTGACGATGGATGCCCATCGTGGACTGGTGCCCATCGTCAACCGATGCACATACTATATCATCTTTACTTTGACATTTCAACCAAAGAAGATAACATATAACTTTATTGCATTCTTCTATGTCATTGGACAGTGTGAGGATAGAAGCAAGAGACACTGATGGTATCTGCATTGAAAATGTTAGGCTTTTGGTTGTTGGTTCTTATCCAGACATTATTATGGCTTTCAAAGATGTATGAGTAGGGGAGACTAGGGATGGTTGTAACATTTTGGACATTTCTGTCTTTATCTTGGAGCTCTTTCAAGCTAGTGCGTTCAATATGTGATACAAACTAGTTACATGTGTCTGCTATTAAATGGTGTAACTGTTATCTATGCAAAAATTCATGGTTTAGTCTCAAACACAATGAGCAATGAACAATTCATCCCATAGTTTGGGTTATGAAATGTAACATTACAATATACACCGGGGTAAAATATAGCATTATGTAATAAGGAATATAAGAAAAACATAAATATAATGTATAATATGTTTATATTGTTTATGACATATGTATAAACATGTCATAAACATAATAATAAAATTTGACAAAATGTGCACCAACTCAATATTAGTGTGTGTTTGTCTTGCATCGTCACTGTGGTGACATACATATGGCACTCCTGGAAAGAGTGCCCACAGAGAAGCCTACACTTACACAAGATCTTACTATAACATTTAAACATAATAATAAAACAATTAAACATTACTGTGTTTGTGAGACACTTACTGAAATTCAAAGAAAACATATAAATGCAACTAAACATTTTTATTGTTACAACTAACCGAGACTCTTGTTGTTACGACTACTCTTGTAGCCATGAATTAGCTTACCTTACAGCTAAACATTAGCACTAAGAACTTGCATGAAAGATATCTACATAGACACACAATAAACATAATTTAGGTTTGATGAGTTTAACTGCAATGCAATATAAAAATTAAATGAAGTAAAAAAAACTTTATTACCTCAAAATGACTTTTGCCTCTATTATTGGCTGTGCCCCACAGTTTTTCCCATGTGGAATAAGGACTAAACTGAGCATGTGCAGAGTGAATAGGCTGGGTGAAAGGCCAGGGCCGTTAAATAAGATTTTAACGGCCCTGTGAAAGGCTAGATCTTCAATCATATAATACAGTCAGTCTATGGAGTTTATGGTGTACACTAGGCTGGATTACCAACTGAGCAAAGCAGGCAACTTCCCCACGGCCCCAGACCAACAAGGGTCCCAAACATCCCAAGTTACAGTATGGTAGCTGGTTTGTATTTTTCTTACTTGTGATTCTTGTTATGAAATACATGAATATGCATTACTAAAGCACAATATCAACTGCTGCTTTATTACCTGGTCAGAAGGGTCCCTCTGTAAAATTTCAGTAATTAGCCTGTGTCAGCATATTGTGCATATTTGTGACTTTATTTATTTATAGGAGGGTGAGAGGGGGTTAATAGAAGGGGAACTCACCAGCTTTGCCCTAGTGCCCCCAAGAAGGTTGATCCAGCCATGGGTGTAGATGTACCAATTGAGGAGGAAATAAATAAATTACCTCATCATGTAAGTGCATCTCAGAAAATTAGAATATCGTGGAAAAGTTCATTTGTTTCTGTAATTTAAGTAAAAAAGTTAAACTTTTATATGTTCAAGATTCATTACACATAAAGTTAAATATATCCTTAATATAAGCCTTTTTTTGTTTTAATCTTGATGATTACATCTTACAGCATATGGAATCAAAAATCCATATCTCAAAATATTAGAACATTAGAATAAATGTTCAAATGAACCATTAAACAAATTAACTTTGCACAATATTCATGTTTTCTGAGATGCACCTGTGTATATAAGCCATGATCACTTGACTGATTTAATAAACACGGACATTAATAGTTATTCACCTTGGATACGTGTCCAGAAAAAGTTAATAGATGTCGGAAATGTATCGGAATATAGTAAATACTACATCAGACTTTTACTTTGTAAGAGGAAAGCTTTCGACTACTTCCTGCCCCGTGTCACGTGACCTCGTCCTCACTTAGATACGAGAAAGCGTCGCCCCATCGTCGCTACGGAGAGAGGGACGGTTCCGTGTAGTTAACAGACTCTTCTGTGTACACACTTAGGACAACTTACTATTATGGCAGTCTGTGGGAAAGGCTTCTCGGTCGCTTCGACAACGACTCTACCAACTTATAACGTTTGTATATCCACGCTTCTGTGCTACTAATGCATTGGTCTACTTTGGTATGACAGATAAAGATTAGTTAGCATGCTAGCGAGCTAGCCACACTGCCTCAGCCTCACACAGCGACCACACTTGCCAGTGACAGGTAAGAAATCTCGCTTCACTTATCTACACTGACTGTGCACCACGAGCCATGAACATTTTTTCACTGGTAGTACCTACGGTTTAAAACCCCTTGGTGTTGTTGCGTAATGATTGGCATCGCAGTTCGGGTGTTTTCGAGTGACTAGTTAATTCCTTGCGACAGTAATGATGCGACCCTAATAGGATTTGAGCCCTCTCCTTCCTGCCGATTGTTTGAGGAGTACGCCGGGATAACGAGGGAGGAGCTTAGGTGTGCGTGTGCGCGAGAAAGTAGGCTTTGCGTGGGAACGTGTGGTTTAATCGGGATCAACCCTATGTTCCCAGGGTCCTATGAACATGTGTATCTCTCTCTTGATATAAATTAGCATTGTAAGAGCTAACTTCGCAGTTCAAATCGCAAAAGAACTATAAAAGTGAAGTATGCTATTCAGGAGAAATTCAGTACCATCACAAATACTATGATACTGAGCGAACAACAACACATCTAGTAACTTGGGTAGGTTTTGCGTTAGGAAACTGTTTTGATTGTTCCAGAGACGGCATCTTCAGACAGCGATATTAACATATCTCCTGTTACTAAAGCTAATCACAACATCAACATAGCTTGGCAAAGTAGAAAGTAAGTTGAATGTCTGTGATCATGTGATTTAACGTTACCTGACACACAAACCAGGGCAGAAAAAGTGTTGTTTGTTTGTAATTTACAGAGCATGGGCCGTGTACAAACACCAGATTTATTTTCACCAAATTTCACAACAACACGTGTATTGGATTGGAATCGCATACCCTGCCTTTTAGGGAGATGGACTTTTAAACTGCAGTTTGAAGGGTTAAAATCCGGTCAGCCACATTGGAGATATTAATGTCAATGTTAATGTCAAACCCGCAAATCTGAGGAAAGAGTATAACATAAGTGAGTTGAATAAGCTGTAGGTGATCCTAATAATGTAATGCTACTGCATTAAAGCGGTAAAGTTTCAATTTTAGGTATTTAGGATTTCAGCCAATGACCTGAGTGTATTTTATGGCAATGATATACTTCCATTCAGTGTGTCACTATGTACTTTTGTGATTATTGCTGTTATGAAATATAATTTAATTTACTGAGCTTTTGAAATGAAATGACTTTTTTTTTTTTTTTTAAAGTCCTCCTGATGCCTTGCGACACCCAGTCTGACTTGGGCAGGGGCCTGCTGTGGGCTGTCCATCATTGAAGTCTTCAGAAGTAGCCATAGTGTAGTTGAACATGATCAGGCTCAAAGGACCACTTGTAAACAACAGCATGGCCGTGCACAACTGGCCTATGTTTAGAAATAAATGCTTAATCTGGATGAGAGAAGTTGCTGCGTTTTCTCGAATTGGAAAATTACGCCAGTTGTGCACACCATACTATAGTCACTCACGGTGTTGTTTACCATCACTACTCACTAAAAGGAAGGATAGACATTAATGGATGCAACTGTGATTTTTATCCAAGTTAAGCAACTTTTCTCTCTGGTGTGTCAGTGTGGCTGCAGGTTCCTAGCAGAAATGGGCAAACTACAGAGCAAGTTTCGCAAGAGGTCTGACATCTACAGGTGAGACATGACTTCATGGAATTGGGCAATATGGCCAAAAATGTTATCTTGATAAAAAAAAATGCCATAATGTTCGATATCGATAATTATCACAATAAATCATTATTTCTTTCAAGTTTAAAGGCTGATTTTTGCTCCAGGGTGAAAGTTGAAGAAACCAGATGGTTAATTGTGGTTAGGTGGTGTACTCACTTTTGTTGCCAGCGGTTTAGACATTAATGGCTGTGTGATGTGTTATTTTGAGGGGACACCAAATTTACACTGTTGTACAAGCTGTACACTCACTACTTTACATTGTAACAAAGTGTCATTACTTCAGTGTTGTCACATGAAATAATATAATAACATAATATAATCAAATATTTACAAATATGTCAGAGGTATACTCACATTTGTCAGATACTGTATATCACATGATGTGCAAAGATGATTCTAGTATGTACACTGTAGGATATTAACTTTGTATGTAGATTGTTTTCATCTCAAAATAGAAGAGTTTAGCAGTGCAGTCTGTAAAGGAACATAATATGAGAATAATACAGAGTTAGATATGAAAAGCAGTTATCCTCACCAACATTCATTGCAAATAGTTGTGAGAGTATGTTTAATTTGTGAATTTCTTTCTTTGTACGTTTTTTTCTTCTTTTTTTTTTTTTAAACTAATGGTGTTTTTTGTATTCAGGGAGTCTCCGGGGGAGAAGGCTGATCATTTTGACAGTCAGGTGGTGCAGTATGAACCTGCTCATCAAGGGTCCATAAACACTGTCACCAATCTCAGCCCAGAGCTGTGTGTTTCTGGTGGGACTGACCAGGTAATCAAATCACTGCACTAGCAGCTGATCACTTCAAAATAATAGAAATGTATTCACAGTATTAATTTGCTGATGTTTTTCTCTGGTTTTGTAGAAGTTCAAGTGATAAATGAACCAATGTAAAAGACGGAAATTATAATTTACATATTCGTTTAGACAGTAAAAACAAGTCTGATGGGCCATATAAAACCGGAAAATCTCTGAACAACTGAAATAAGAATGTTAAATTGTGTGAAAAACCTTTAAACATGTAGTGATTATTGTGTGCGCATGTGTTTGCATGTGTGTACAGGCTGTGGTGGTGTATGACTGGAAACAAGGCCGAATGTGTCAGTCCTTCCAGGGTCACAACCGAGAAGTTACCAAGGTAACGTCAATACTGTGTGTGCGCACTGATGACAGTGTGGCACTGTTCAGGGCTGTTAAACATTTCACATATACGTATCCTCTGGTCTCGACTGCTCTTAATTCTGCCTCCATCTATCTGCCAGGTGATGTGTTATCCGGGCAGTACATGGATCTTTAGTGCCTCACGGGATAAGACGGTTCTGATGTGGGACCTAAACCAGGGGGACGAACCTATTCAAGAATTTTGTGGGCACGAGTTGGTGGTCAATGGACTAGCAATCAGCCCTGGTGCGCAAACACAGACACAATGAGACTCCTCGCTAATAAGTAAACTGCTGTATTCTAATCTGCAAGTATGTCACAATGCAAGATAAAACTCAAGGTTATTATACCAAATGTATACTGTTATATTTCTGCACAGATGACATATTTTTTTAATCCCGAAACAATTTACTATCACTTTCTCAATTCCTTGTACTGTTGGTTTGGGAACAGATAATTTTCTGACAGTTAAATATTCCTCCAGTCATTGCAGCAGTAAATATACAAAAGTAATATAAAAACCAAACTCTATGTGTAGCTGTTGGAAGACAATTCCAAACATACTTAAACAGTGTTGGTAAGAATGTTCACGCTCAGGCCTCCTGAGTGTAGATCTGACTTGAGACATGACAGAGACTTCTCAACAAGCTGGAAAGTGGCTGGAGGGGATATCTCTGAATTGTCTCAGGTGTTGGTCAGGCGAAATGCTGCTATGGTGGATTAGTAATATATCAGCCTGCCACAAGTCCTGAATGCAAGCGGGGAAGAATATTATCTAATAATATTTTATCGATTATTAACTTTGGACTATATGTTTATTATATAAGAAGTTTTAATTATTAAGAAATCATGTATAGTAGCTTCAGAGGCTTTTGCATTTCGGATTTTTGGATTTCACATTATTGATCGGCACTGAATCTATGGTTTTTATTGTGGTTTGTAGATGGGAGAAAGCTGTGCACCGGTTCTCGTGACAACTGGATGTGCCTGTGGGATATAGAATCCTCTAAATGTGAACAGAGACACAACATTTCCAGAAACCTGGTAATAAAGATAGTGTGTATGTAAGAAAAAGAATCAAATCAATAAGCCATTCTGAGTTCACGCCCTGCAGGCTTTTAACTTTTCTGCTTTCCTCTCTTCTCTGTCCAGGTTACTCATGTGTGTTGGGTGCCAGGCAGCTCCGCTGTAGTCCAGACCTCTGAGGATAAGACCATAAGGTGCGTAGCAAGACAACTGAAATTCGGTAGAAATCCACTTTGTTTGCAGTTGATAATGTGTAATATGCTGTCTTGCTTCTACACCATAGGAAAATGTGTAGCAAAAAAGGCGTTCTGGAGTGTGAAGCAAGTGTTACAATTATTATCAGTAATGCGGTGATCCTCATTTAGTAACAATGCAGGGTCAGAACTACAATAAGTATAACATCAAAGCAACACTAAGACTGATTTTAATGTTTAATGTCAGTCCAGAGCTTTTTTTAGCAGATCAGTGAGATACCAATTTAGAGGAAATAGTTTTATTCCATCTTCCTGATTTCTTGTGTATTTTGGAGAGTGACAGATAACTGTTCTGTTCTTCGTCTGAGTCTTAAAATTGGGGTAGGCAGTTTATTTCAGAAGGATTTTTGTTATATTTGTCTTTACATCCCGACAGCCATCAATAAATCAAATTCTCGGACACAAAAATTAGAAAAATCCAGTATCTGTGGCTGTTGCAGGACTGTAATAAGCATGGCTAATTATTTAATTTGGCCCAATTATTTCGGTTGGATTCTTTCAAAATCTAGCTTTCTTTTGCTAGTTTCTCCAACATTGCTCACCCCAGCTATAATCAGTCATGGGTGAGGACAAGTCCCAGTTGGCTGTAACATTTGGACTGGAAAATTGTGACACCTAGTTTTTATTCTGTAGCACTGTCCCTGTGGCTGCTCTGACCTAATCTGTGTGTCTCCCCCTGGAGGTTAAAACATTACATCAGTGGTTCTCAGACTTTTTTGGGCCAGCGCCCCCCTATCCATTATCCAGGTCCCTTAAGGGCTATTTGCCCTGAATATTGTTGATTATTATTATTAATAATATTATTGTTGTTACTGAGCACATAATTGACTACAGATTTATTACTTTCACAGGGAAGAAGAAAGCTATGTAGGCCTAAATAGTAATTATATTTTATTAAAAATTAATTGTTCTCCCAGAGACCTTTTTCTTGGAGATGGCACTTAATAACTGTGGGGTCCACCCCCTTAAGATTTTGAGCATTAAAGACTTCATTTTCTGCATTCTGGTGAAAATTTCTGCTCCAATTTCTGCCTTTTCGGCACCAATTCCTATTGGAAATGTTTTTATTTATATTAAGGGAAACACAAAATTCAGATGGCAGGTGAATTTCAGGAGGAATTCAAAATATATAAATATAATGGGATACAATGCACTAAGGCTCTCAGGCATTCTTATCTGCTTTTAAAAATGTTTCTCCTGCAGATCAACTTAGTTAATATCATCACTGCTGAGTTAACACACATGATGTTTCCTCCTCTTTTGTGTCTTTTGTTTAGGGAAGTAAACTCTTTAAATGTGATTGTGGCAACTTTTCACCAAAACGAAACTAACACCTGTGATCAGACAGAAATTTCACTACAAATTCACACAACTTCAGCAACTATGATGAAGTGTAGCTCACAGTCACACAGTCCCGAAAGGCTGCGCCTCCGTTTTTGATGTTACATTTTATAGCCCATTTTTATAGCTTATTAAAACTCTCACGTTACCGCACAAACTGGCTGCGACACACAGCGCGAGGTGGGTCCACTTCACAGTACTCGCTGGTGTCGCATCAGGTGTTGGACGAAGTTGATTTCGTTGAGTCCGACAGCAGAATATCCCTCTTATAAATGTGTAACAATGCGATACCAAGGCGTTCACGGTCTACTCTTTAGATAAATTAACGCTTTACCACGGTAAAACCAAGAAACAGGGCATCCATTTTCACAGTTTACACAGTTAACTACATGGGGGTGAAATTTTACAGATGATACTGACTTCCTGTTCCCATGAAGGCAGTACGGAGCTGCGCCACAAGCAGCTGACAGAAACACTGAAGAGAAGAAGAGTTACGATACACATCGTCTTGTCCAGTCGCAGTGAAGGAAACTGTCAGGTTTTAATGTTGCAGACCACAGTTTTTTTTGCAAGTAGTTTAAAGTTTAAACTCTTATTGTTGTGAATATTTTGTGTAAACTCGCCTTAAAACGTTCACCTCAACAAACGCCCCCCAAGAGCAGCTCAAAATATTTTTCCAAAATATTGCTTTCAGCGCGCACCTTCATCTTCTGATCGCCCCCTGGGGGGCAGTACCGCCCCCGTTGAGAAACACTGCACTACATGAACAAGTCACAAAATAAGTCTATCTAATGCTAAAATCAAGGACTTGCGCAGTGGTTAATTTGTAAATGATGAGTTTTACTGGAACACATGGTGATGGCTCTGGAAATGAACAGTGCTGCTGCCATTCAAATTCACATCATGCCCATAACATTTTGACAGTACTTTTGGAGTTTACATGCTTTCTATCTTGGTATACCCTTAATATAGCCCAGAAAATAAAGACTTGCAGCATGCTGACAGGTCATCTTTACCAAGACTTGTACAAATCAATATGTCACAAAAAACAACTTATGCAACCGTTTACAGCAGTTATATACTGCTGAGTGACTGATATTATCCCAACAAGGTCAGCCAGAAGTTAGGTGCGCCTATGGTAGCCCATACCCTAAGTGGTATTAAGTCTTGGGATTGTACTATTGTCTTTCATAAAATGGCAACGATCAAATTATGTTAAACTGAATCATAAATACTTCTCAATGTATGTAAAATGATGGATGTGATTATAGCTAATAAACCAGCAGTTTGTTCTGGCTGTGGTTGATGGGTGCTACCTGTACATTGACATTTATTAGTCTGGGAGAATGAAGAGTGATCACACATTTTTACGCTTAACCGAACTGCTCCTTGGCCTCTGACACATTTACATTACATTACACACATTTGTAACAATACACTGACTATTGAATATATAAAACTGATATTGATATTGAAATCTTTATTTCGAACATGTAAAAGAAAGTATAAAAAATAAAACAATGGGGAAAAAACAACAGATGAGCAGCAAAAGTACCCTTCTTTCCTATGTTAACATACTTCTATCACATGTGCGAAAAGGAGTAAGAAGAAGTAAAACTTATGTACTCCTACCCCTTTTAACTTACATTCCTTCATTTAACAATTTTTATATTATTATTAGTATTATGTTTTATATACATTTATTTATATTTTTTTACACACACACACACACACACACACACATTTTATGTACACAATATTGGAGTGACCACTGACAAGTATTTATTTATCTAACCTCAATTATGTACTTATTCAAACAGCAAAAAACCCAAACAAACAAACAAAAAAACATGTGACAAATTTCCCCTTCCCCCTAAATCGCAGTACTGTACTTTAGAGGTGTAGAGGGTTTTTTTGTGTCCTTAAATGTTTTCACCATTAGATGACAGTATAATAAGCACTCGATTTATAACTCCGATTTGGAGGCTAGATCCTGCTATGTATTGAAGCAGTATTCTCCCGATATGTAGCCTATTGCATCATGTAGTCAGTGGCATAATATTTCCAATATCTATAATATGTTCAATTCAAACAGGTTTCTATACCTGTAAGTCATTCTTGGCACTTACTATTAATATTGAGAAGCACTTGACAGCAGCCCGAGCTTACCCAGTATTAAAGTGAAAATGGATGATCAACTTCAGTATACTGGTAATATTTCAATATTTGGCTTTGTTTGTGGTTTTAGCTGCAATATTCTTGGTCTTTTTGTTTGAATGTTTGTTAAAAATGATTTAAAAATTGTCACAAGAAATGTTTTGTCTGGACTTGGACCATGGATACAGTGCAGTGTATTTCTACAATGATGTTTTTGCCTATGTGTACAGGGTGTGGGACAGCCGTGCATGGCAGGTAACCAATACTTTTCCAGCCAAGCAATACATCCAGACCCACTGTGACGTTTCTCCAAATGGAAACTATCTGGTGTCCAGCAGCAATGGCTTTGGAGGCCAAGGCTGTGAAGCTACGGTGAGACTATTGGAGGGGTTTGTGTGGTTGTTGGCTGTGCAGATTGTGGATAGGTTGAGGCTGTCAGCAGGTTAACCTATTGTCTGGCTTGTATTCATCGATACTAGACAAACACCAGCTGGAATAAACAATATGTGTTGTACCTTTTTACCATTGTGAAATTATTAGTTACTGCTAGTTCTTGTTCATGTCTAATCTGTATCTTCTCAAAGTAGTAAGAGATGAAAGTCAAATATGGAGACGTTAATCCTTTCCAGGAACAATCTTTTATCTAAATACCAGTGGTTCTGTAGTACAGTCCATTCTAGTAAAATAAAAAACAGATATATTATGACATGCATTGTTAGGTTTTATTATACTATTGACAGTTCTTTCAAAATTAGGTTTAGCTGCCATTGTTCAGATTTGAATTTAGTTTAAAAATGAATGCTCTTGCTACTTACAAAGCGTTGCTTCTCATGTGGGAACACGTTGTTTCAGTTGTTATGGCAGAATCTCTCATTTGTCCACTGTCTTATGAAGATAGTTTTGAAACCTCTGACATTGTCATCCAAGGTGGGTTAAAATCATGGGCAACCGGACTTGGTCGAAGATACTCGAAGACGTTTCGCCTCTCACCCAAGAGGCCTATTCAGGTCTGATATTGTCATTTGTTCTCAGTGGAATTGTGTCATTGTGTGTTATTAGCTCTGGGACCTGCGTCAGCCTGGCTGTAAAGTTGTGGAGTACAGAGGCCATCTGCAGACCACAGCCTGCTGTATGTTTCTGCCTGTTCCTCCTAGTGGTACAGCTTGGGTAGCCACATCCTCTCATGACGGCTCTGTCAAAATCTGGGATCAAAACACAGCAGGTAACACCCACTCAAGGGTGGAAACATTTATATACAGAGAGACAAATACAAACACACATGGGCACATTTACAGACACTATTTGGGTGTTTAGATTTTTTTTACATTAACTCACCTCCACCCTTCCTATCTCTGTTCAGTCTGTTTAGGGACATTGTCTCTGGATGCTGCTGGTCCACTGGTTTCTCTGGCTCCCAGTGACTCGAACAATCTACTGTGTGCCAGCTTCAACTCTGGCCTCCACCATATCCAGGTGGACCAGGGATCAAACCAGGCTCAGGGTTCCGGGGCAGGTTCAGGTGGAGCTGGTGGCCTTGACATAAAAGTTTTGGCACGCTTCTGACAGCCCAGAAGAACCTGGTGTGACTCGTAACCATGACATATGAACAGCCAGTGACTCATGTCACTTCCTTTTTTGTTTTGTTTTTTTATAATTTTACACATTTTGCTTTACTAGACTGCCATACAGTAAAGAATGACAGAGGAGATCAGTGAGACAAAGAGGGGATGATAGTGACGAGTGTGGAGGATGCACCTGTTGTCCAGCCAGAGCCACCTGGATGCCCATCACAGCTGCTCTTTTCGGAGACTGGTCTGTGAGTCACATTCTCCATTAATTGATGACACTATAAACACTAAAATGATCCTGCTTGGATTGCTGCCTTCTTGGACCAAGCCAGAATAACTGGGGCTTACTGTCAGTTTTATACACTACTTCAGCTCAGCTGGAGTTGATGTGATGCTTCATGCGCATGTTGTATTGCTTTTATTGGTGATACTGACTACATGTTTGGAGGACATCGTAATGCGGCATGGGTGGTGTTGGTAATTAGGAAGTACACTATTTAGAGCAAGAAAAGCCACTATTTAGTCTGGTGTATCTTCTCCTGAGTCTGACGGAGAACTGGAAGCCAAGTAGAATATCATACTACGAGTATGTAATTAGGGTTTTTTTCTGCATAAGATTTAGTGAGTGCAATCAGACTTGCTGTCTTGTTTGTCAAACACTTTGTGGCAAGTTATTTTTGTCACCAAAACCGTAATGAGGAACACGCATATGTTGATGTTGTGTGAACGAAGTAACCTTTGATTAGTTTGTACTGTAGCTTTAACCTGTCAAGTGTTAGACCAAACAAATACCTAAGACACAACACTGTATAAACATGCTTTGTTTTTAGGTAGAATTATATCGATAAAGGTTTTTAAAGATACAGATTCTGATATTTTTTGAACTGAAGCTGCCTATAGCTGAAGCTTGGTGGCAATATCCAATGTATCTAAATTTGAAAATTACTATGCAAAATACAGGGGTTATTCCCTTTTTATTAATAACATATAATTTGAATTAACAAATGGGAATAAAAGATATTGAAAATGGAAAAGAAAGCTGCTCTGCATCTACAAAAAAACTGCTACAACTTAGTTAATTATTGTTTGATCAACATTGATTGACTATTAACAACAAATATTGACATTTAACATTCTGTGCTATTAACAACAGATATTGAACTTCTCTGTTTGAATTAACAATCCAGCCAACGAATGCTAATGTTAATATTAGCAGCCTTAAGTGGTTGAATTTGGCCGCATTACATTCCTACCTGAACTGAACTGTCAGGAGTTAAACCACTCATTTCAAGGGTAAGTTAAACGATGATTACTTTGCCAGTTTCAGCAGCTCACAAATGACCTTTTTATTTGTAGATATCCAGGTGACCATCTCTCCCAAAGACAATAGTTGCTATATCATTCAATTCCTTTTTAGATAATTGTTTGCAACTAAAGGAACAAAATGGACAGCTCAGGAGGTGGATCAAAGTAATCAGTTTAACAGTAATGTCCTCTCAGGTGATTCCAAATGCACTTAAATGGATATTAATTTGAAGGTTTATGTTGGTTTAGTACCTACTGAACATTTGTTTGTTCCAGGCATATGTCGGTTACACCACTGGTTACAGTGAAAACTTAAGAGCTGCAATAAGAAAACTCCACATTCAGTAATAAATTATTTTTCTAAACTTTTGGGAACACTACAAGCAGTAGAGAACCAAAGCTGATCAGACATTTAATTTTGTGTGAAGTTTGTATTTGACACTCTACACATCACCAGTTGGTTTAATTGTATCGATCTTTGTTTGATAAATTATAATTAAGCAATAAATAATTTAAAATGAGGAGTAAATATTGGTTGTAGCTCTATGTGTCTGCTGAGATTTTTAACTTGGTCAGACCTAAATTTAATACGCTACTTGCATACATGTCACTATATGAATTTTTTCTTTATCTCTGCAGGTAAATGAAATCATTCATGGTATAGCAGCTCACTCTGAGAGCAGTATCCCGATATAAATCAATTGCATTTACATTGTGCCTGTGATAGAAAAATTTGACTATTGCCCAGTCCAGTTTCCAGTAAACAATTTTACACTTGAAAGCTGCTGTGCACAATGTAAACCATTACCAGCCACTTTCCAGTTTTTACTGGGTTGTTTTGCTCAGGGGCACCATCTATCTGAGCACACTTTCTTATCTATTAAGAGGATCAGCTAATATTACCAAGAGGCTATACTTTATTTTTTTATTATTTATATATATGTAAAAAAATGCCTTTTGAAGGTATTTTCAATTTATACGTACTATGTAGAACGACTCATGGCACAGCAGATACTCAGTCATTTATTTATTGAATTTCCTTTTTCATCTTCATTCCAAAACCACCATGGGCTTTGAGGAAACACCAAAGATGTACCAGTGCCACCTAGTGCCAGAAATGTCCTTGTTAGAAAATGGTCATCAAATACTGTTAGTACTACAAAATAAACTAATGTATTTAAAGTGATTCATCCAATAAAAAGAAAACCTAATGGACATTTCATCTCAAACCAGACTTATTAGTTTAAGTGGATTTATGGCATTCATATACGTATAGGCTGATTGGTGACACATTTGACCCCTGTTTTTTTTTTTAATCCTGAACTACTTTATTTATTTATTTAAAATATATATATATATAAACATTCACACTTTGCACACAGCTATATGAAATTATAAATAAAGTGAGAAAGTAGACTTTGTCAGACTGGTGTTTAATTTAATCAAACCTGGACCTCATTTTCACTTTTGACACAAATAAGAACCATTAAGCCATCAACAGGGTTTGATAAAGACACACAAACAGAGTAGGAAACAGCAGGCAGAAAAGCTTGTGGCTTGCCACACCAGTGATGTACAGAAATAATCTGATTTAAAAAAAAAATTAAAAAAAAGTCTAAAAGTATTAATTGACAAAATAAGAAGTCTACATCTATTTCAAAATTCAAGATGCAAACAATTGCAGACTGGCAAAGAAAGACATTGGTATGTTAGAGAAAGCAGGCTACATGGAATAATAGGAATAAGTAGAATACAGTACATTAAATGAATGGAATTACTAGCCATTCAACAGGCAGTGTAAGAACAGAATAAATATAATCTGAATATAGCATTCAATCCAGATCTGAGAGATACCAGCAAAGTTGCACAGGCATCTTTCAGCGTGGTATGAGCCTACAGCTAGCAGCAACTCATATCATGGAAGAGAACTTGTATACTTTATCTCAGCACTTTTTGATAGAAATAATTAATAAAAACAGTGTGATTTTGAAGAGAAATAATTTCACTCCTCGTTCTTTTTTTCTCCAACAGTTTCTAAAAAATATCTGACAAGCACCCCTTAAAATCCTGAATCTTTTTGGAGTCCAGAAGCCACTGTAATACAGTATCACACTTCTGTGACATGCATCTAAGATTGCTAGACTGTAAAACCTTCCTTCAACAACATATGATTACTATTCAGATAACACCTTCAAAAAATAAAATAAAATAAAAAATAAAAAAAATCACACATGCTGTCATTAGTAAAACATACACAAGTCATTGGCTACAGACTGTAACCACACACTACAAGACACCAGGATCAAGTCGGCTTCACCTCTGCGAATGAATGAAAACTTCATGTCAGAGGTCACAGAAACAGAACAGCTGTGATGATGGTATGAGAGAAACAATTCAAAGGGGTTGTGTCAACTTTAGTAATGTGAAACAGCCCTCGTACGTGATCATTTGGTCAATACAGCACAGTCATCAGTGCAAATGTTGGCTGTAATGGTACAGAAAAATAAGACTCATAATACAATATATATATGTAAAATAATACAAATCAAAACCTCTGGCTAATTCATCACATCAAATTTTGGAATGGTTCTCTATCTAGCAAGTCAACAACATAACATTACAGACATAAAAACATAGCATGCAATAATTTGGCTATGTGGGCCAGCGGGGGGTTTGGAGGGCAAGTGCAGGAACGATCTGGGTGCGTTTGATTTTCAAACCATTGATATACATTAAGTTAACCTTAATGCAAACGTTGTATTTTGCTGCACCAAGCCTTAATTGCAAGATGAAGATGGTAAGCAAGGCCTAATAAGAATATCTGAAATCCAACCACTGTATGTAATGGGGATTATCTGCATGTGCTGAGAAATAGCCAGAGTCCATGTGTCTGTACCTGGTATTGCGGTGATGCAACACCTTCCTTCTCAAAGAATATTAACACTGCACCCTTGCTACACTGAGAAACATTGGGAGTGGGGTAAAAAATGCATCCCAAAGCATCTCACACATACTAATAGTTGCTGAGGAGATTCTTGATCTGAGTGTCAGGGGTGTAAATACTAGTTGGTTCTTTGGCCTCAGTAATGTAAGAGCTGTAAGATCCTACAGCATTACTCGTTTGTGTCCTTATTTATTCAATCTTTCTCCTGAGACACTGAAAGCAACAATTTCTCCCCAAAGTTTGCACAGCATTAGGACCATTTATATAAAAACGTGTTTACACAGTCCAGATTTAATTGAACTGACAAAAAGCTGCGCCAAGGGGAATATGACTAGATGAAGATGTGTGTTAAACATAGAGGAGCATGGCAGGGGAAAGTCCCAGTCTGTTAACAACAGTACATGAAGAGAAATATAAAATCCAAAAGGCAGAAATAATAAAACATAAAGAGGCCTTTCAAACTAACTAGAGTTGGCTCCAGAGGTGCACACTAAGCATGTATACAACACACAGTTTTAACAATGTTACGCTGTATCAATCAGGCTGGTTGTAAATCTCATTAAGTTACTGGTAAGAGCTCTTATTACACACTAACATGAAACAATTTAGAATAATATACAACGGCTTGAAGCCTGACTTTTCTGATGCAGGGTCACATGAGGTTGTACAGTACAAGCTTGTATTTTTGCCACAGAATCAAAGGCACTAGACCTAATTTAATCTGTAACCAGTTTGAGAAATTTATCCCCCTTCGCCAGAGTGACGTGACTCAAAACGACTGTTCTACACATTTGTGGATAATATGCTTGTGAGTTCACACATTTAAAAAATGTTAAAATGCTATTTGTTAGAGGTGCAACAAGTAATCGATTAGTTGTCAACTATTACATTTATCGCCAACAATTTCAAGTGGTTTGAGTTTCTTCACTTGTCTATGACAGTAAAGTGAATATCTTAAAAAAAGAAAACTGAATATCTTTAGGCTGTGGACAAAACAAGACATTTGAGGGCATCATCTTGGGCTTTGGGATACACTGACATTTTTCATCACTTTCTGACATTTTACAGACCAAACAACTGATTGATTAATCAAACATTTTCAGTAGTTAAAGACCTACTATTGAAGAACACTACCAAATTTAACTTTAGAACCACTAGCTGCCATGCTAGTATTAAACAAAAAATCTAAACACTGCAATTTCAACATGATGCAAAAAGACAAACTGCACACCCATTTATCAGTATGTATTGTAAAGTACTGAGACAGATTTCAAACCATATCTGAAAAACTGTGAAGTGACTCAAAGAGACCAAGACATGATTTTAATATACTTGATATCTCTTTTCCAAATCTATGTGTTGGTTGAGTCCCTGAGATATTGCTGCCTTTGCATTTTCTTCTAGTCTGATGGTGACTTTTTGACACAGTGCTTTTCCATTTCACAAGCTTGAAACACACACACACACACACACACACACACACACACTTATGCATTTGCACACCTTCCAGTAAGTCACCCAGATGCATTTGCTCACATCTATACACACAAATGATGAAAACGTGGTCCGGATGTCAAACTATTGCCACTATGGAACGGTGAAACAAACTGCATCTACGTGATTTAAACATTTTGGATGGAAAAGTGAATAAATAAATCTTACTATGAACTATCCAACATCTTGAGGATTTTTACATATTAGAAATAACATGTTTGTATCGGCCCCCTGCGTCATACACCTAACCCCTTTCCCTTCAATAGTTTCAAAAAAGGGGAAAACATTTTTGCGGACAAACCTGTGCAAGAATCGTAATCCCCAGGTTATTCACAAGGATAGAAACAAACAAAGATGCATAAAATGCTTATTCAATTAGCACAAGCTTTGACAACACTTATCCAAACACCAGAAATTCAAGCCCTAACGTGGGAGTTTCTCAAAAGTAGCTGAGGTGTAGAATTAGGCCAGCATTTAGAAAACCATGGACATCTCTCTGATGACTTCCGCCCAGATGTAGCAAAAACAATTAAAGAAAAACTGTTGTTTGGTTGATTTGCGTAAACTCCCAGTCAACTGTCCACACCGCTGTGGATTTTTAGGTATTCTGCAACTAAAATCAACTCAAGAAGTTAAAATACTGTTTTCAAATCTAGTTTTGTCCCCCATCTGACAATAGAGTTGTAAATACCCAGTAGTCATGTTGCTGAAGATGTGTACAGGAAAACAGCATTCTGACATCAGCTGCAGCTGTTTCTACATTATCCCCTCCCTCCCCCACATCCTTGCTGCCACCTACTGCTCCCCGGGGCGTTCCAGGCCGTCTATGACACGGCTCAGCCTGATGTTAAGCAACCTGATCTGAGTGTCCAGGTGGTCGATTTTCTCTTCCAGTGAACCTGCCCCGCCTCCCCGACGCCAGTACGCTCCCACAGGCCCCGTCATGAAGTACACGGCCATGATGAAGCACAGCGGCAGCACAGCTCGCTCAGGGTCACCCTCAAACTTCTGCAGGATGTAGAGGCAAGACAGGGCGAAGAGCGTCATGCGTGCTAGCCAGAAGAAGCGACCGAACACAGCGTGCAACAGGTAAAAGAAACCCCCAAGGAACATGGAGAGGAACCAGTAGGCCACGAGTACAGCGGCAACCAGGAGCAGGGCGCGTGCCGGAGAGTTGGTGAGGGATGTGGTGCTGAAGTAGTGGCTGAGGTTTGAGGCTGCAGAGGGAAGAAAGAGAGAAGAGGAAGTAGATGGTCTAAAATCATAAAAAAAAAAAAAATTGTAAAGCATACTATTTGTGCCTATCTTTCTTTGATGTCATAATAGATTTAAACTTACAGTCGATGCCCATAACATCTAGCAAATCGGACCATATCTTCCAGATGGTATCGAGAAAAGAGTCCACTCCATGGACAAACCGCTCCGTTGTTTTGGAGAAAAACTACAAAAACAAAAAAGACAGAATGGTAACACTGTTTACCCATCATATTAAATCTTTAGTCTAGACCTACAGTACATACAGAAGGATCAGTTGAATATTTCTTGTTTTAGAGAGAAACATTACGTTACATTCATTTATCTGATGCTTTTATCCAAAGTGACATACAATTGCTATATACGTCAGAGGCCGCACACCTCAGGAGCAGTTAGGGAGTGTCTTGCTCAGAGACACATTGGTGGATGTGTCCCACTGTGACACATCGAACCCAAGTCTCCAACACCAAAGGCATGAGTTTTATAGACTGCACCATCACCACCAAATAATTATTTAGCACATTGTAAAAGTAAAGCAAATGTACACAACAGTTTATCCCGCCTAACATCAGTTTATGCCAGCTAAATTAAAGCCCTATACACAATTAATATTTACCTTAATATAACATGAACAACATATCTAACTGTAAAAACAGAACTGATGGTAAGAAGAGGACAGCAGTGTTGTTGCTTAAGTCGACACAGTTGTGCAATAATCATGATTACCAAATAATTCTCTAATCAACAAGATAGCCACTCTTTGCTCACAGTAGCTGCCTTTAAGTACAGTATCACAGAGTAGCCACAATGTTTTGTTAGCATTGTCCACGTTTAACCTTAAGCAAAACAATGTTTTGTTAGCTTGTCGCTCTAGGTGCCATCTGTTGTGCCATCTTATGAAGCCTTCAATACGGAATGGACTGCACTAAAACCTGTCACTACAGATTTGGGGAAGTGACATAACAGCTTTTGAACTTGTTAATTAAAAAAAGAACAGAAATTTGAACAATGTACATGTACAACGCATAAAGCCATTTACATTTCTCTGAGTCCCTTTCTAAAAGGCCTTTGTGCCTAAAAAAAAAAAAAAAAACCTGCAACAATTGAACAAACCAACTATTTTTCTTTATCAACTGAATAGACAATTAAAAGGTGGTATACAACAGTAACAGGCTAGAAAGACTGATTAAACACTATTATAGCAACAGGTGCCTTTTTCACACTGAAAGCAGACTCTTGTTGGGAAGCAAGCAACCCATGGTACTGCCTACAAACTTTAATAGCCCATCACAGATGAAAAATCAAGGCATCTGGGACATCTATTGATTGCAACTTTTATTAAGGATATTAGTATCATTGTGTCGTATTTGACAAGTCACAATATCCCTCACCACAGAAGGTCTATTCAATGTCAGTTGAAAATCAACATCAGTTAGAAGGCCGACAAACAAATTTACATTTTTGCTGATCATGTCAGCCATTGATGAGGAGTCTGCTGTATTGTGTGCAGCTGCGCTTTCCATAACTTTAATCAGTAAGTCTCAATGTGTATGTTGTTATCACATCACCCCGGTTTTAGTTTCATTACACTGGCTCCCAATGTTTTAGAATGACTTACTTTCAAAGCTCTTCATGGCCCCTCTCCCTGTTATATCTCAGACCTGTTCAAGAGTCTCAGCTGAAAACTAAAGGGGACAGAGCGTTTGCAGTAAGGGGACAGAGCGTTTGCAGTAAGGGTCCTGAGGCTCTGGAACAGCCACCTGAGGAAATCAGGATGGCTGAGTCAGTGAACTCTTATGTCCCTTCTTAAAACATAATTTTAGAGGAGAGCCTTACCTGAATTTAACTGATTTTATTTTAAATCCTTTCTTTACTGTATTTTAATTAAGACACGATCCACAAGGGCATATGTTAATGCCAGCTAAAGCTGCCGTGTGCAACCTAACACGTGTCACTTTGCCTTGCTTTGGCGGGTACGCGCAGGAAATAACATAGATTTCGAAATGCAGGAAGTGCAGCGGGACCAATGAATGAGAGCACACAAGCTAATGTGTTTCCTTAGCATGATTAGCTTTATAATAATTTGGACACGAAAGCGACATAAAAAAACCAGCTGTTCTGGCCTGGACCAATGTGGTTACCTGCCATTTGTGTGGTGACATTAGATGCACCTGCTGATGGACTCAACGTTAAAATGAATGGCAGCACGGATTACACGAACAAATTATAGAATTTCCCCATTTTATTGTTTGCGGCATCGCTACATGACCTGACATCTTCTCTAGATGGAAAAATAGCTAATTTTTCAAAATGGCATCCGTTGTTGACCAGGCCCCGGCAGGGTGCGTTTTTTTCCTGTTCGCCATTCTGGTAGCTTCTACAAGCCACAGCCGAAGCGAGCTGCTATCTGGACAACACATGTCCCACACTCACCTTGTATAACCCTCTAATGTTATCCTCCCCGAAAACACTGCTCAGAGTCTGGTAGATACCGTTAGCTGCCCGTCGGAAGCTGTTCTGGTTGCTGGTTCTGCTCCTGCCCGCTTCGGTTGTGCACAACAGAGACGCGGAAAGCACCAAGAAAACCACAAAAACCCTGATTCCCTTCATGGCACCAGACGTCCCGAGATGTTAAGCAGAAATGTTTATCAAAATGTCTCAAGAAAACGGACGGTAAATCAGATTAGCTGCCTAAGGTGAGACCTTGCTGAGGGATGACTGTGATGGTGGTGGCGGTGATAACCTTTGTTGCCTTCAAAGCGCCTCGAAAACTTCTTCTTCCGCGCCCTGAAGTGGCTTGTCATGTCGTGCCTGCGGACGAAATAAAAAAAGGATCGTGTGAAAAAACCAATAGATTAATGGTTGCAGCGTCAATCTTACCAAACGACAATTAGCGACTCTTCTAAGAATAGTGATCACGATATCCGTAATTATCCTAATTGGTGTTTATATTGGTTTGTTTGCAAAAGACATGTAGCCCGTGTGTCGCCTTGAAACATACAAAAATGCAATAAATACTCATACTCATCAACACTATTTAGAGTACCAAATTAATAAGCACATGGGCAATTTATTACATTTAGTTTAAATCCTCTTTGCCTTTGAAACACTTCCTGCTTCTGTGGTTGCAATGTTTCCGATTATCTTTAAAGGCATCGCTTGTCTGCATGTGAGGCATGAATGAGAGACTCATCTGAAGCTTGCTGCTGCCCTCCAGTGATCAAGTAGTCTCACTGGCCTCCCTTATTTTTTTCTCAGTCCATTCTTTTTGCTAATGAAAGCATCATGTTCAGCTGTATCATAAAGTAGTCTATGCTCCATGGATCTCTGGTGTTGCTTCCTGCACATCAAGCATCAAGTTGTACCTCATATCAGCTCTGTCATGCTTGGACAAAGACATGTCTCTGCATCGTTCAGTCTCCCTATATCAGTGTCTACAACTACACAATAATAGTTAAATAGATTTAGCTGTAGTTTAATAAACCCCAAGCCAAGTCTTAGGCAGCAAATTTTGATAGTCATAATTCTGTTAGAAAAACAAAATTACTCTATTCAATTATACCTGATTTTGTCTAATTTTTAATCAATTAGTTGTGCTCATCATAAGGAAAGAGAAGATTGAACATTTTTACAAGAAAAGTTGCTAATTTGATGCAGAACATCTTTACATTCCTTGTTTTTCAGCATTGTTTGCTGTGTTTCAAGTAACACAAATTTTCAAACAACAAAACTGATCAAAATGTTTTCTTAACTTCACTTGCATCCAGATCCCTTAAAAGACAACAAGTATGTTTTCTGCTATGATATGGTCAACATCTTAGGGTAATGAAATTTTCAGTTGTATGAGTACTACTTTCACTGGTGCAGTTTTCATTGAACACCTTCTGTTCTGGTCTTGCTGACATGGTATAGAAGTGAAGAAATGTAATGTGAGTTTTGGAGGAAAGGGATATCACTTTTAACAGAGGTGTGAGGCAGGCCTTCCCAGGGCGGCTCCGAAATGTTTTGGGGAGGCTCAGTGAATGGAAGTGAAAAAATATTAGTTATTATTTTATTCCGCCTTTGGTGTGAGAGACCCAGGTTCCATTCCCACTGCGACACGTCTACCATAGTAGGTAGGTAGATTTATTTTGTCACAGTATAACAGGTTATATAGTGAAATTGAGTTTGTAACTCCCTTCTGCTACATAGCAGACAATATCCATTGACATAGAAGCAATTAAAAAATGCTAAACAGAAATAAACTACATTCAATGCTGAGGATGCAATGTGTCCCTGAGCAAGACACTTAACTCCTAGTTGCTCCAGTGGCATGCGACCTCTGATATAAATAGCAAGTGTAAATTGCTTTGGATGAAAGTGTCAGCTAAATGACTAAATGTAATCTAATATGATTAAGGGAAAATTTCAGAGATACAGTAGTTTAGGGGAATTTTATTTTTTCCCCACCTTCCCAGAGTCAGAAACTAATAAATGCCTTTGGTCAGACCTTTTTTATGTAGGCTATTTAATGTAGTCTGACGTTGTGTCAGATAACAATATAAGGGTTTCTTAACTCAACTGTTGAATGTCTATGGGATCAAATAACAGGATCGATCAGGATGAACAGCAGCCTCTCTGTTCATAAAAGTAATTCATTAAAGCACAAACACACAGCCTATAGAAATCTATTTACACATGACGTCTTGTTAAGAGGAGCCAAGCTCCCCCGTAGTCTGTACCCTGCCTACAATCTCTGAAATGTTTCTCGGTGTGAATTATTAAAAAACAAAATAAACAAATTAATTTCGGGTTAAAATGCGTTGTAACGAGCGTTACTGAGATTGTAACGGGTATAAAAATTACGATTTATTTTTAGTAATGCGTTATACAGTATTAGGCTTCTGCGTTAAAGCAAAAAGCAACAGGCCTACATTACTGTAATTATGTTACTTTTGTAACGCGTTACTCCCAACACTGGTAACGATGATTGCAATTTACTGCACCAGTGACAAGTTGCCCGCTAAAGTCACAACAATCATGTCACTAATGCAATATTACTCACCAGTTTAAATATGACTTCAATTGTTGTTGCTGTGTTCATTGGATACACAGCAACAACCCTAAGTTTTCCTTATGGATGATTAATAACATTTGACAAATCAAATATCAGCCTGCATTGGAAACCTCCTGCTTATGAGACATGACAGTATTGTATTAAAGATGCAGTTCACTGCCATTTCAGAGAAGCACTTGTTACATGGAGGGCTTTCCCTGAGGTCTCATTATCCGCATTGTGGGCCAGGCTAATAGTGCAGGAAGAAGTCGGTCAAGACTACAAATGATGATAACAGGAAAATTGTGGCACAATAAGGGCAAATGCAGGATTAGCAGTTATTAATACAGAAACAGGCAAACCCTGTTGCTGAAATATGTTTAATCACACTAACTGGCCCACTTTAGGGACAGATAAATGGATGGTTGGAGTCACCCACTAGATGGTAGGATTGGACTATGGTCTAACCATTAAAATATGCATAGGATGTACAATTTATCTTAGGACATTTTGTAGTAGGTGCATAGTTAATTCCAGGATGGTGTCACAAATATGCGTGCTAAACCAATAATAGTAATAATAGCAAAATAATTCATTAGACTTACAAGAAATATCCAAGTGATACACGTGGTAGAAAATATCAAGGGAGATACTGTAGACCCAATACCTAACCTTACGTTGTTTCCTACAGTTTGATGCTGAACTCTAGGCTACATGCCCGCAGAGAATTGCATCCACCTCGCTGTAGGTAACACAACCTAGGCCTATATCCGGAGAAAACCGATGAATGCAAATCTTGGCAGGTAGCTTAGAAAATCTCTTCTGCCGAAGTAGGCTACGCATCCACATGTTAAGGTCTTTTCAGACACTTTTCTGTGCAGATTGATCAAATGCAGTTTTCACAGTACAGCCTACATTTGCGGAATCTACTAGGCTATCTGTTATTACATATTGACGACTCTAAACGTTCATAATAATATACGAATCATTTATCACCTTTGATGAACCCCACAAAGAATAGGCCTATTATAGCGCTTTAAGCAGTAGGCCCAGTAGGCCAGGCCTACTTGATTTTCAGTGGGCATGCAGAATTCGGCGTAACACCTGTTACTGTAACTGTGGTGTGTAACGACATGCAGTATCCAAGCAACGACGCAAGGAGCCGGACTCACACAGGAGGCGTGTGCGCGTCCGCGAGTGCAGAAAAGGCCGAGGACTGTAAAGAGAGCCGTGGGGGGAAGTTTTAATCTCGGGGCTTACCAAATATGATAAAGTGAGAACTATATTTCGATTTGGGGCCGACTCTAGCGTGTGTCTCTGTGACGTGAAAGTTCAGTTAAACAACCGGTCTGTTTTAAGCGCAGGGTAACGTTAAAATGTATGGACGAGCTCCAAGACTGACCTCCATGACAACAAGCGGCACTCCAGCTACAGTTGGCCCCGGTTCATATGATGTCACCGGGGGCGATACTAAACTATCAGGTAGGAATAAGGTAGCTACAAATGAAGATTGAAAAAAAAAACGTTTTATGTCAAGAAATCCACCTGCTTCTTATTTTTAACCCTCAAGGAAAATGTAGGCCAAAATGTAGGCCTATTTAAATCATACGGAAGCGCATTGCATTCACCAAAGAAAAAAGAAAAGATGTCATAATTACGAGATAAGATGTCATAATTAGAGAAAAGATCTCGTTATTACGAGATAACTGGAAATGTGCCATTTATTACTGAGTTCAGTAATAAATGCCACCTTTACTATGAAATACCGTATTATACACAGATTCAAACTTGCGGGATCAATAAAGACGGTCCCTGCGCACTCGTCTCACAGCCATCTGCACGTAGAGAACAATGGTATTTGTGCCACTCATTCATGTGAAAATGTAGGTAGCTTGTGGTCTACTTAACTACGATAATAAAGAGGCGTCGTTTGTGCTTTAAACATATTTTGCTTAGGAGTTATTGATCCCGGAAGCTCGAATCTGTGAATATAGGCTATTTGCAACTTTACTATTATCTAGTAATTATGAGATCCTGATCTCGTAATTATGATATCATCTCGTAATTATGACATATTTTCTTGTAATTATGACATCTTATCTTGTAATTACGAGATCCTTATCTCCTAATTATAAGATAAGGTGTCTATTTATTTTCTTTGGTGAATGCAATGTGCTTCCGTAAAATCAACATATCTGCACGTTAAAATGCTAAGGCTACCTGAAAGACAGTAATAAGCTAACATTAGTGCAACATAAATACATATTTTCTGTTTTCCTGTTATTTTGTCTTTTCGTGTATATATATAGTACTGGGAAACACATAATATATAAAATGTGTCTAGTATAATATACCATAATCACATATTTGCTGGTTTTGAATCAATCATAAACTTGCATATTCCACTATTGTATGTTTTTCTTTTTTTTTGCAGATGGCTATGCTCCATTCCTGTCCTTGACCAACAGACAGTCAATATTCAATGAGTCCAGTGAGATGATACCAGCACCTGGACAGTATGACTCCTCACCTGTCAAGGTACTGTAGGTCAGAGACAATTCTTTACAATAAAATCAAGACCTGGTTGTGCCTGAGAACCATAAACTGGGTTAGGTGATGCTGAATACCTTTATAAAATGCTCAGATTGGTCAGTAGGTAGGAAGTAGGAAGTAGGAAGATATGGTTCAAATAAAGACGCCTGTATCCCAATATCACACTTCAGGAAAAGCAACAGAGGAGTGATCCCTCTCCCACAACAGTCAGACATACAACAGATGTG